GGATACCGAGCACCACAAGATGGGGGCTGCCATTTTTGTCACAGAGTGATGGTTAATTTGCATATTACTCTGTTATTAGATAGGATGACACGGACATGAAATTGAGAATTTATTTTCCCATGTAAAAGCTTCTTCCAGTTAGAAAAAAGTTTTCTAGTTGTCTTTTTTTTTTTTTTTTTTTAATTATTGATTTGAGAGAGAGGAAAAGGGAAGAGATAGAGAAACATGGATGTGAAAGTGAAACATTGATCAGTTGCCTCTCATATGTGCTCCTACTGGGGATTGAACCTGCAACCTAGGTAGGTACCCTGATGGGGAATTGAACCTACGACTTATTGTGTACTGGACTATGCTCCAACCAACTGAGCCACCCAGCCAGAGTTAGCTCTCTGTTAATATTATTTTTATTTTGAAATTATTGAGAGCACTTGTAACCCACAATTTACTGATAATTTCAGTAATTTTAGTACTTTCAGTTTTTCCCTAAACTAAATTTATTTATTTAATAAAAAAGAGGAAGAAAATAATTGATGCATTTGATTATCTATTTTTTCTATTTCTTGTTCTTTCCATGATAGACTGCCAATATGTAAACTGTCTGAGGAAGGAGGAAAGAGGAAAAGCAAAGCTTCTTAATAAATTAATTTCCCCTAACTAGAACTGTATCTTTGGTTATTTTGTCACTGCTTGAGTTAAAGTTAATAACATGATAGCTAGCGGTATGCCATACATACAATTTGTAGCTTGTAAATATTAGGAAGAAAATAGACAATTTTTTTTTAATAACAAAACATGCCAAGACATATGATAATTTTTTTTTTAAAGTTAAATCATTTAGTTGGTTGGTACAAAAGCACATCAGGTCTCCCTGGCTTTGGTCCCGACTAATGTAGGAGTTGCTGATCCTTTCCCTTTTCAATTTTTAATTCTCTTTCCAAAAACCTTTTCTACCATGTATTCAATAATATGCTTTCTTTTCCTAGCCACATTTGCTCCAATCTAGTAATTACCCTATAAATTCTTTCAATTTTTCTAAGTTTGTTAACAGAATTTGAAAAGTAAATAATTTAGTCTATCTTTGCCTACTAGAGATCCTAACCCATTCTCCTTACAATTCTCAGGAAAAAATTCAAGTTCTAGGACATTGTTTTTTGTTGTTTTTTTAAAAATATATTTTATTGATTTTTCACAGAGAGGAAGGGAGAGCGATAGATAGCCAGAAACATCGATGAGAGAGAATCATTGACCAGCTGTTTCCTGCACACCCCCCACCCGGGATGTGCCTGCAACCAAGGTACATGCCCTTGACGGAATCGAACCTGGGACCTTTCATTCCGCAGACCGACGCTCTATCCACTGAGCCAAACAGGTTTCGGCAAGGAAATTGTTATTATCCTCATATTCTTTTCATTTTTGAGTAATGATTATGTGCCAGACATATGCAATATGCAATCTTTAATTCTCACAATAAAGAGTTTGGTATAATTGTCTTCATTTTACAAATGAGAATACTAAGTCCAAGATGGGATAAGTACTTGGTCCCAGCTAGTTACTAGCAGAACTGGAATTTGCTCTTCCTATCTCCTCAGGCTATAAATTTTCCATAGACCCTGATACCTCCCTTCCTGTGTTCCACCCTTCCCACCCTAGCCAGTGTGATGATAAAATAATGGAAATTGTGAAGATTTTCCACCCATTCACCTTAAACAAAACAAAACTTTTAAAAAGACATTTTGGTTAATGCTTGTATGACATAAATATTTAGCCTATCTTGAGATAAAACACTGTTGAATTTCCTTTTGAAATATTAATAGCTTCATTTCAGAAAACATACTACTTGTTTACATCTTAAGAAATAATTTTTAAGTGCTCAAAATTTGTAATAGTTGCTCATACCTATGTGTGTGATAGTCTCTAAGCACTTACAACCATAAGAAAATCTGAGAATTCCATTTGGGATAGTGTAAGATATGTGTAGTATATTTATAGTTATACTTAGTGTAGCTTAGTTCCACAATGCTTGTGCTTACTTTATAATTATATATTCTTTTTTTCTTATATAATTCTCTATACCATGTTATACTTTACTAGCAGCTAACTCATATCTATAAAGAGTGACATCAGATGAGCAGTTCTAACTTAAATTCTTTGTTAGTTTATCTCAGAAGTATAGATTTCTGACTTCTAGTTAATCTCCAGTTATTTGCTCTTATTCTCTAGGTATGAATATGTGAGTCTTTGGTTCTTTCATTTCAAACCTATGGATAAGCATAAGTGATTTGTTAACAGACCCACTTTTTTTTTTCTTCCTTGCATTTATATCATTGACCTTTGCTTCAAAAAGCATTCAGCAGTTTTCAACAGAGGGATACCATGAAAGGGGTTGTTGTAAAGGCTCTATTCTATAAAAGAAGTCACACAGGGAAAGCTTTATATTTGCTGAGTGATTTAATTCTTATACATGCAGAGCTTGGCCATGGGCCATGTGTAGTATGGTGGAAAAGCCTACTAGAGCAGCCTCACAAACTTCCCCACTCCATTCTGTATATTTTTTTAAAAGAAAGAAAAAAGCATCTCCTTTCCGGTTGTTCTGAAACATGCCCAAGAAAAGTGAAGCATGAAGTCTAGATTAGTTAACTATATCACAGACTGTATATATATAAGTTTTCACTTTAAGTTTTTTTGCAAAGTTATTTAAGAGACATGGTTGTTCAAAATCAATTTCTATAGCATTTAAAAAACAATACTCATCATCTAAACTATGATCAGTACAAATTTTAATTAAGCTTTAACTAAGCATAACAATTTTTGTGATTTATCTTCTGAGAACCTTGGACTTTGCTAGTCAGTTTCTCTTCAAGCACTAAGACCTTTTAGCTTTTGTTTAGGAAGTCCTAAAATATACTGGCAGTGAGAAAAGAGATGAGGGTTTATTCTGAGTAAGGCAAAAACAGCTCACTGGGATCAGAACTTAAATAAATGGTGAATTGAGGTGCTTAGAATCTACATAATGAAGCTTGATACTCAGGGCTGTCAAGTTGTTTGGCAGGCAAATTTCTTGTAGAAATTTAGAGTCAAATTTAGGGAAGGATAAGTAGCATGGATAGGGCAAAAGTCTATCTTTGTGTAAATAATTGCTAGGTATGGACAATAATTAAAATTTTTTTTGCATTTCCTCAATAATAAGATGAGAATTATGATCTGTATCTACCCTGTTTCCCCGAAAATAAGACAGTGTCTTATATTAATTTTTCTCCCAAAGTTGCGCTAGGTCTTATTTTCAGGGGATGTCTTATCTTTCCATGCGCTAGGTCTTATTTTCGGAGGATGTCTTATTTTTGGGGAAACACGGTAGTAGAGTTATTTTGAGGATTAGAGAGAATATATAATTGACATAGTTTCTCAATGAACAATGGCTCATTGTTTTTATCATCATCATCATCATCATCATGCCTGCTTTCAGATGCTTCCATTTTACATTTTCTGTAAATTTATTTGCTCGTCAAGAAATTAAATAACCAACCCAATATACTGGGCAGCTTTAAGATAGAAAAATGTTGCCGAAACCAGTTTGGCTCAATGGATAGAGCGTCGGCTTGGGGACAGAAGGGTCCCTGGTTCGATTCTGGTCAAGGGCATGTACCTGGGTTGTGGGCACATCCCCAGTAGGGGGTGTGCAAGAGGCAGCTGATCGATGACTCTCTCTCATCGATGTTTCTAACTCTCTATCACTCTCCCTTCCTCTCTGTACAAAATCAATAAAATATATATATTTTTAAAAAAGATAGAAAAATGTTGATAGGTTACTTCTCTGTTTACAAGACTTTAAGATATGTTACAAATAGAAGCCCGGCTTTCTTTCCTTTCTGGACTGGTTTTGTTTGAGGAAAACCCTAAAAAACATTCCATGTAGAACTGTTTTTCTACTCCTTTTTGGAAGCCAGGCTTCTATTTATTTATATATTATCTCACATAAAACAATATTTCTTGGGTTTGTATGCTACAAATAGAATACAGAGTTGAAAGTTGCTTTACTTCCATTCTTCAAAGTTTAACCCAAAGTTCCAATAACTCTCACATTTAGAACTTCCATTTTTACTACAGAAATAAGAATATGGGAAATAGTAGGGATTGCTTTAACTGATCATATGTGTATTAACAATCTGAGGTTGGGCTCCTGAGCTAAAACAACAACACCATGCGGACTCATTATTACGAGCCGAATTTCTTAAAGAGTATAGAGGATCAGTTCTACCTTGGATTGTCTCCCATTCATTATCACTGGTGCCAAAATCTACTTAGATGAAATCTAAAAATTTGAGATACAGAATAAGCATATAAAGAAGGGTTATACTGTTGGAAAAAGGGAAGAATCTTAGCTATTCTGAAGGGTAACTAGTATAGCCCTTCACCTTTTTCCCTTTCAGTATTTAGCTCTAACATTCAGTTTGTGTATTTATTGTTCATTTATTTGTCAAGTATATATTAGGAGCCTACAAACCAAGTACTGTACTAGACTCTGAGGATATTAAGATGGCTAAGTACAGTCCCTGGACTCAGAAAACTTATTAAGATGTATGAAATTGCTGAAACCCGTTTGGCTCAGTGGGTAGAGCGTCAGCCTGTGGACTGAAGGGTCCTGAGTTTGATTCCGGTCAAGGGCATGTACCTTGGTTGCAGGCACATCCCCAGTAGGGGGTGTGCAGGAGGCAGCTGATCGATGTTTCTCTCTCACCGATGTTTCTGACTCTCTATTCCTCTCTCTTCCTCTCTGTAAAAATCAACAAAATATTTATTTTAAAAAAGACGTATGAAATGAAAATAGTTATAGTACACTATCCATAAGCTTGTGCTATGTCTTAAAGATAATAAATAACCCCTACTTGATACAGTACTTCTAGTTGAAATAATTTCTACATTAAGATCCTCGAATGATGGGATGTTAGTAACACAATTTTAAACTGATTTACTTTACTTATTGTCTTTGCTTTTATTTGCAGTTCTGGGAAATGCCAGTGTAAAGTGGGTGTCACTGGCTCTGCATGTGATCGATGTCAAGATGGATATTATGGCTTTAGTAGGAGTGGCTGCTTGCCCTGCCAATGCAATAATCGATCTGCCAGTTGTGATGCCCTCACAGGTATACACTTTCCTTATCTTTTTAAAAACCAGTTCATTGTTCTTTTTATTTTTAGGTCCTTCATCTATAGATTGATTCTTTCTAAATAGTTTGTAAGGGTCTTTCTCCTTTAAGTGGGATGTTATAGGTTATAGCAAGCCAAACTCCTGCAACAAAAACTTGAAAAAAACATACAAATAAATTTCAAAAATCTTATTGGTTGTAGAGCTGTGGAAACAAGGAGGATGATATGAACTAAAATTCCAGAAAGTGTAGAACTCCTACATAAGCTGATGATCCTAGTCATTTCCTTTCCAGGGGACATTTGCTGAATCTGGGCATAGGCTAAGGAACAGAGGTTAGCCCAAGCAAAGGAATGATTTTTGAGGACAGAGATACAAGAGCTTTTGGCAGTCATTTGAGGATTGTGTGATGGATTGGAAACTAGAGGAGCTCTAAACAGAAGGCTATTTTTCTCTTAGGACCTTAGCTGACTGTGTAGGAGATGGAAGGCTAGCCCAAAAGGCAGAAAGAAATTTCTCAGTCTTATAGTGCTTAGGAGACAAAAATCTCTTTAAAGAGGACCTGCTACAACATACAGCCATCTCTCTTTCAAGACGTTGCCAGATTTTGGGGTGCGAGTAGGACCTGAGGGGAAGTGCTGAATCCGTTGCAGTCTTTCAAGGCTGAGGAGACTCAGGACTGTTAGATTCTCAATTAGAAATCTTAGAGGGCCATGACCAAGAATTGTGATGAACCATTGGTGAACTGACTCAAACTGAGATTGTGATCATCCTCAACCCATCTCAATTTCTGATTGGATTGGAAATCTATGACATAGTTCATAGGTTGACACTCAACCACTGAGCCACCCTGGCCAGGCTCCTAGGCAGTATAAGAACAAGAAATCCGCATTTAGGCAAACTTAAAGTATTAAAAAACTAAAGACAATTAACATTTCTGGTCTTTAATTTTGAAATCTTTTTTCCCCCCAATAAAAATTCAGGATGCTTAGAATGGCCTTCTAATACACCTCTAACCCCAACCCTAGACCCTTTGGTTTAATAAATCATATCCTGCCTTCAGGCCTTTAGTTAAAAGTTACTCATTAGAAAGCAGTTCCTGATACTCCAGGATAAATGACAATTCTCATTTATACACACTTGTATTTTTTATAGCACTTATCACAGTTCGTAATTGCATATTTATTTGTGATTCTGAGTCACATATGGCTTAGTCACTACATTGTAAATTCCATATCAGTTTTGCTCTCCATTGTACACTATCTTTAGCATGTAACATAGTAAGTAACTAGCTAACATTTTTTTTAAAATAAATGAACAAGAAAATGGAAATACACACAATACATGATTTCCAATCCTAGGTAATAGCAAAAATGCTTCATCATATAGAGTTGATTTAAATTGCTCCCTGATCTTTTGCGGGACCAGGAAACAGTTCACATTGCTGGTTGTAACTTCTTATTTTCCTTGTAGCAATAAGCTAGCTATCTTTAATGTTAAATAAATGCCTACCTGTCCTTGCTCTGGAGATAATTTAAGGCAAAAGAAATCCTTTTCATGGTTATGCTTTCTAAAAGCAGTTAGTAATAAGAGAAATAAATGACTTCTCTGTTTTGAAATATAATAAAAATGGAATCCAATGTGAAGGATCGCCAATACTTATTTAAAACTGTATTCTTAATATAAAATTAATCTTTTGTCTAAAATGAGATTTTCCCCCTCCCCCAAGAGTGCTGTGTTATGGTTGCCCTCTGGTGGCCACTTACTATGTTTTCATAGTCTTTATTCTTCCTCACTCTAGTTTTTTTCTATGCCTTGTATTTTATATTGAAGTAGACTTTAAAGTAATCTTTTTGTGATAAGATATATTGGGGGAAAATTTGGAGAGCAGTTTTATAATGTGTATTAGAAGTCTTAAAAATACTTCCTTGATTCAGTAATTCTGTTTCTAGGAATCTAGTCTAAGAAAATAATTCGAAATTCATAAAAAGGTTTATGTTCAAAGATGTCCATCAAAGTGGTACTTATAATTCTAAAAACTTAGACCATCCTATTTCTAGGAGACAATGAAGCAAATTATGTTATCTAGGCAATACATGGTTAAGAGCACAGAAAGTGAAATCTTTGCCTGTATACAAGTTTCTTAGCCTGTTTTTTTTTTTTTTTTTAATCTAGAAATTTGGGATAATGATAGTAATTGCTTCATGAAAAGTCAATGCAATCCTATATAATAAAGAGCTAATATGTTAATTAGACTGGACAGCAGAACAACTGCCCAGACGACTGTCCGGATGAAGCCGGGGCTGTGAGGGCCAAGCCCCTTGCATGAATTTTGTGCATCGGGCCTATAGTATACTTATAAAACTCTTAATACAGTGTCTGGCTTATTATAAACAATCAATAAATGGAAACTGTTATTATGTTGTCATTAAAATGTTTTAAAAAATGATATATAACAATATGAGAGGGAAAGAAGCAGGGTATAATAATGACATGTGGGATACATTTAGATTATTTAAAAAGCAAAATCTAAACCTCTATATGGTGATTTCAAGTAACCTTTCAAAATCTTATTGACACAGTTCTTTGGGTAATAATTTTGTCTTTCTACTCCACTGTATTTTTCTAGATTTTCTTTATAGAGCACATATTTTCCTTAAAATGGAGGTGGGAGGACTATTATTTTTTAAACTAGAACTTCCTGTACATATAGTGTACTTTTTAAGAATTAAGCTCCTTTATGTATTCATAGTGTTCCATGGCAGCTTGACTGAGTTGAATACTCCTTCACTCCTCAATGACTTTCTTCACTTTAGGATATCACACTTTTCTGGCTCTTTCTCCCCATCCGCAGTTGGCTCTGCTGCATCTTCCTCTTTTCCACTGTAAGCACTGGAGTAACTCAAAGCTCAGCCCTGGGCATTCTTTTTTTCTTTTTTCTTTTCTTTTTTTTTAAATATATTTTACTGATTTTTCACAGAGAGGAAGGGAGAGGAATAGAGAGCTAGAAACATCGATGAGAGAGAAACATTGACCAGCTGACTCCTGCACACCCCCCACCGGGGATGTGCCCGCAATCAATATACATGCCCTTGACCGGAATTGAACCTGGGACCCTTCAGCTGCAGACCAACACTCTATCCACTGAACCAAACCGGTTTTGGCACCCTTGGCATTCTTATCTTTTCCATTTATACACTCTCTAAATGATCTCATTCGGTCCCGTGGATTTAATTTAAATGTCATCTACACATGTGCTGATTACCAGATTTACATTTCTTCCTTGATTTTCACACTCAAAGATCCAACAATGCTTTTGACATTTTTACTTGAAGGTTTTAATTGGCATTATAATCCTAACACATCCCCCCCAAATCTCTATTTTACCCTATAAGTCAATCTGCTTTATTCTTAGTGTTCTTCATTTTGGTGACTGGCACCATTCACCAAGTTGCTGAGTCCAAAAGCCTGGGAGTTATATTTTATTATTTTTTTTTTCTTACTGCAAATATCCAATCCATCAGCAAGTTCTCTTAGCTTGACATTCAGTATAACACCCAGAGTCTGACCACTGTTCATGGTCATTGCTGTCATCCTTGTCTAAGCCACTGTCCTTTCTCTGAACTACTTTGACACTCATCTGATCTCTGTCTCTTTTGTTCTCTCATCCCCTAACCCCCACCCTACCATAGTCCAGTCTCCACATAACAATCAGAGTGATCTTTTAAAAATGTAGAATCAGATAATGTCATTCCCATGCTTACAGCCTCTTGGAATAAAATTCAAACATATTAATATAACTGACACACCCCTCCAATCCAGGGGTGTTATCTGTAAGATGGGAGACACCATTTCCTGATTTGGGGTTGGTTCCCAGAGTAGCCCCTGGGAGGGGTTCCTCCACACACTGTCAAAGGGAGGATGGGGCGCGCGCGCAAAAAAAAGGATATAGCACCTGTATTCCCAGGTGGTCTTTCATCCAAGTCCAGGCCTGACTCTGCTTAGCTTCCAAGATCAGACGAGATGGGGCGTGTTCTGGGTGGTATGGACGTAGATGGTGGAGGAAGCCTCTGGGAGCCCCAAGAGCCCAAACACCCAGCCTACAGGCCCACTCAGCTCTTGGCCCTCTTGCTGACTGGGTGCTCAGTCCCCCTCCTCACCCTGCCTTTCTCTTTGACCTTATCTCTTGTTACTCTCATCCTTGTTCATATAAGCTTAGCCTTCTTTCTGTTTGACAGGTTAAAGTTAGTTTTCTTCCCTGTAGACATGATCAGTACTTGTTATATTTTTGACAGGTTTATATATAAACTATGAAATGGTGAAATAAATGAGGAAAAGTCTTTTTATATGTGGTAATTTATGTTTTCAACATTTTGTCACTGAGTTTAGTGGGAAAGGAACCATCTCTCCTAATTACAATAACAATAAAAATAATCAAAGTTGAAGTTCAGCCCGGCTGGCATGGTTCAGTCAGTGTTTGAGCATCGACCCATGAACCAGGAGGTCATGGTTCAATTCCTGGTCAGGACACATGCCCTAGTTTTGGGCTCCATCCCTGTTGGGGGGCATGTAGGAGGCAGCTGATCAGTGATTCTTATCATTGATGTTTCTGTCTCTTTCCCTCTCCCTTCCTTTCTCTGAAAGCAATAAAAACACTTAAACAAAAAAAGTAAATACTCTCCTTCCATATATATCATTCTGCAATTTGCTTTTTCAACCGACATTATTTTCAAGATTTATGCATATTCATAACATATAGGTTTAGTTCACTTATTTAATTCAGTATCCCAGTGATTCAAATCATTTAGTTTTACCTATTTTATTTCAATGATTTTTAGATTGTTTTATTTTTTCTCTATGAAGAGCTGGCCTACTTTCAGTATGTAGTCAATCAACCAACAAGGGCTTACTGCAACTCTTGTCACCTTTCCCTAAAGAGTTTACCATCTGCTAGGGGGCACCAAACTTGCAGACCTGGCCAATGTAGAAATAAGATGGGGAAGAAACTGAACTCTGTCCAATATCTATTGGATCACTTTTTCTTAATATCTCTTAAGGTCTTTTGATTACAGGTATGATTTATATAAAGTTACTGTGCTATCAGAGTAAATCTTTAACTTCTTAAAATAATTTACTTCTTTTAGGTGCTTGTTTAAACTGTCTGGGAAATAGCAAAGGGGACCACTGCGAAGAATGCAAAGAAGGATTTTATCAGAGTCCCGGTGCCACTAAAGAATGCTTTCGCTGCCCTTGTTCAGCAGTGACATCTACAGGCAGTTGTATCATAAGTAAGGCCTTTCTCTAAATCTTTATTTTTAGAAGCAAAAAGAGTGAATTGGTTACCAATAGGTATAAAATGTGTTCATAAAGTCTGGGTGCTACAGGTGAAAGGAGTTATAAAAACAGCAAAAACTTCCTTTCAAGGCATTTACAGTCAAATCCAAATATGTGAAATGAGACTTGAAAGAGGGATGAGGAAGTTTTTGTTAAAAGCATATTTTATTTATTTGCCGAAACCGGTTTGGCTCAATGGTAGAGCGTCGCTCTGTGGACTGAAAGGTCCCGGGTTCGATTCCGGTCAAGGGCATGTACCTTGGTTGCGGGCACATCCCCTGTAGGGAGTGTACAGGAGGCAGCTGGTCGATATTTCTCTCTCATCAACGTTTCTAGCTCTCTATCTCTCTCCCTTCCTTTCTATAAAAAATCAATAATATATATATATATATATATATATATATATATATATATAGCATATTTTATTTAACCTGTCATGACTAAAGAGGAAGGGATAAAAAAAAATTGAGTGCCTATTCATTGTAATCTTATTTTAGATTTCTTTTTTTTTTTTAATATATCTTATTAATTTTGTACAGAGAGGAAGGAAGAGAGATAGAGAGCTAGAAACATCGATGAGAGAGAATCATCGATCAGCTGCCTCTTGCACACCCCCTACTGGGAATATGCCCGCAACCAAGGTACATGCCCTTGACCGGAATCGAACCTGGGACCCTTCAGTCCCCAAGCCAATGCTCTATCCATTGAGCCAAACCAGTCTCGGCTAGATTTCTTATGTAAGCATATTTCTTTTGTTCTCTACTGAATAGGTTCTCTGTAGCCCCATCATTCTCACAATATATTGGACAATTAATAAGGTGTAGATTTTTACTTTGATTCCATGTGTCTCTTAAATTTGAGAGGAGGTAGTAGGGAAAGCTTATACTTTGTTTTAAGAAACTGGTGATTGTTTTGTATTTTCAATTGTAGCTTGAGACTGGACTAAATTATTTTGATGCTCTCTCTGTTTTAGGATTGGGTGAATTGGAACCTAAATGTGTCCAGTGTAAAGAGGGTTACACAGGCCAGAACTGCAATAAATGTGAAAATGGCTATTACAATTATGACAGCATCTGTATGAAGTGCCAATGTAATGGCCACGTGGACCCAATTAAAACTCCAAAGATTTGCAAGCCCGAGAGTGGAGAGTGCATCAACTGCCTCCATAACACCACTGGATTTTGGTGTGAGAACTGCCTAGAAGGTTATGTTCGAGACCTGGAAGAAAATTGCATCAAGAAAGGTAAACTTCACCTAAGGTTGTAAATTTAATATCTAAGCCTAGCATTGAAAATTTCAGGACAGCTACCTTTTGCTGTATAAAACCTTCTAATCCCACAAGAGGAGTTTTTCTGGAAATAGATTTTGATAGATATTTGCCTAAAGAGAATTCCTTCCATTCCTGCTGCTCTCCTGATATTCCAAAATCAGCTACAGAAATTTGAGGACCAAGACCAAGTCATTGCAGTGTTTTCACATTTTCTATTCATCTACTTTTATTTTTATGTTAATAATTTTAAAAGTCCTATCACTTTTTTTTCCTTTGCTTCCTGTATTCTCATCATCTCCAGTGATCAGCAAAGGTCTTTTTAAATAGGGACCTCTAATCTGGTTAGAATTTCCAGCTGAGAAAAATGAGTTTGTTTTAGCATCCATCCTAACTTTGGGCCTAAGATTTCCCATATGTAATGGAGGAAATATCATAGTAATAATATTCCTTTTGATTTTTAAAAGAAAAACATACTCAAATGGCAAAATGTTTCTTATAGGGAGGTTCAGGAAGGGTTTAGATACAAATTAATAGATTTGTATCTAAAGATTCAGATATTCAGGATGAGTTAAGAATATTAACTTAGAGATTAGAGATTCAGGATGAGTTAAGAATATTTAGGCTTTACGAGGTCACAGAGATTAGACCACGTTCTTTTACAAATTACCCTTTGATATTCTGATAGATGTCGAATATTCGGCTGATGGACAGTTAGAGTGAGGCAAGGGTTGTCCTGCCATTTTCTTGATATCCTTATTCTCTTGTGATCCAGGCTATGAAACTCAGATTGAACTTCAGCACTAGCCTGAGATTCTGTCACTCATATCTCTTTCCCACTTGGAGGCATACCTTGTCTACATTAAGCTGTCAGGACTGTGGTGATTATTGTTTATTAAATAATGTAAAACATGCCTCTTTTTAGGATAAATGGATGATTGTGGTAATGAATTATAAAGATAAAAGTAATCATTTTGTTGAATGACTACTATGTGCCAAGCACTGTAAACATTGAAAAATAACAATGTTATATAGTATGTTATCTCATTTAATATTTCCCAATAACTTTGCAAAGTAGATATTATTATTCCCATTTATAGATAAGGAACCTCAGTTTTTAAAAGAACTGACTTACCTATAACCACACACTTCTACTTAATTCTAGAGCCTTTGGTATTTCCACTGAGCTATGCTGTGTTAGAAGTACAAAGTGTAGTTTGTTAATTATAAAATAGCTAAAATCTACACAAGAAAAAATTACTGTACATGAAATTAAAGGAAGTCTTTTTTTTTTCTCTTGACTGACATCAACTTTGGACATTTAAATGGTGTTATTCAGAAGTAACTAGAAATACAGTTTTTTTCCCTACTTTGTTTTTATCTCCTTTGAAGGGAAGTTTGCCCTTATGAAATGCCATCAGACATCCTGAACTTATTTTAGTTCAAATGATTGTCATCTATCCCTGTCACTTTTAACCACATGATTTAGAACTCAGTAGTGACATACTTACTATCTTTACAGGACTTTGTATGAATCTATCCAAGAATAAAGAAGGATGGAAAATTCCAACATTAGAATTTCCCTAAAGATTTTAATATATTTATTATACAATTTAAATAATAGCCATGGATATAATAATCAAGCTTTCTAGATCTTGATTCTTTTCACTATATTTCTCTAAAAGTTATTTTTAACTTGCATGACCTTAAAGAAAACTATCATGTCAACATGCCATATCAACTTCCACTCCCATGTATTTCTTTTATTGTTTCTTAAAACTAGATAATTTTGTCTTTTACATTTCATTCTCTGTTTTTATTTTCAGAAGTTATTGTTCCAACACCTGAAGGTTCTACCATTTTGGTTTCCAATGCCTCTTTGACCACATCAGTGCCCACCCCTGTTATAAATAGTACATTTACCCCCACCACCTTGCAAACTATCTTTTCAGTAAGCTCTGCTGAAAACAGCACATCAGCTTTAGCTGATGTTTCATGGACCCAATTTAACATCATCATTTTGACTGTCATCATCATTGTGGTGGTGCTGCTGATGGGATTTGTAGGGGCTGTATATATGTACCGGGAGTACCAAAACCGGAAACTCAATGCCCCCTTTTGGACCATCGAGCTGAAAGAAGACAATATCAGTTTCAGCAGCTACCACGACAGCATTCCCAATGCAGACGTGTCAGGATTGTTGGAAGATGATTGCAATGAAGTGACTCCCAATGGACAACTGACTCTGACAACATCCATGCATAATTACAAAGCCTAAGGAGCTAGACCTGTTCTGAATTGTTAGTGCTCACTAAGACAGCATCAGCCCCTGGGCATGACAGATCCTGGGTAGAGTTTGCTGAGAAAGAAAAAGGCATATAGTGCATCGAAGTTTTCAGGTACAAATTCATAATGCACTTAGCCTATTACTTTTAGTTTACCATGAAGATTTGAAGCAGTCGCTATTAATAAGGACTTGAAGTAAAGTATATTTTTATACAAACCACATGGGAGTATAGAAAGGCTGAACCCCATAGTACAGCCCTAATTGCTTTGACCTCCAGATAGACTCTTGGGGAGTGTTCACTCAACCAGCGGAAACAGGATGATGGATGTGGACTGGGAGAGGACTACTGGAAGACTTCATCTCCATTCCTGAAACACTTTTTTTAAAAGGAGGTTCAGGGACGATATTCATTTACTGTACTAAAAGACATCATTGAGGAGAAGCTAATGTCTGGGCTGTATCATAATAAACAATCTTGATTGCTTCTAAAATAGGAGCAGAAAAGTCCCAACAAGATCTTTAGAAGGGTTCTATTTTTCCTTCCTAAATTCTTGCTCAAAGATAGGATTAAGGCACAAGATAAGCTTCTAATGATACGGAGAGGAAGGCAATATCTGGGAGCAGGAAGCTGATAGTCCTCCTTAAGGTCTCAGTGTAAATGATGAGTTATCTAAAAATAAGGAATATTCCTGCCTCTAGAGAAATAAGATGTATATATTTAATGTAGCCTATCTGGTCAACATTGTATTTGTATCTATTTGTAAAAAAAAAATCATGTCATATTTTATCTAGAATGTATTTGTACAGCAGTTAATGACATTGTAAAAAGAAAATATGGGGATTGGTTAAAATATTGTAAAATAGATGGCAATATTGCTAGAGCTGGGACTCTGGTGAGCATCATTCATTCTTAGTCCCTCTTTGGACATCATTGAAATTTATAAAAGGTTGAATGTTTCTAATCTTTCTTTCCCTTTCTCATTGTAAACATAGAATTATGTGTTCTTTGACTTATAGATTCAAGCAATAGATTTTGAAGTCAGTGATTGTTAAGCTGGAACACAGGCTGTCCTCTCCAAGCTACTCACCTAATTAGACATTAGCCACTCTCTATATTTTATATAGATTAATGTGGAACAAGCCTCATTAAAATGCTTTTTAATGTAAAAGATAGTTTTTCAAAGGAATTATAAATATTTTGGTTTCAAAAGAGAAGCCATCATTATCACTTGGCATCCCATTTTCATGCTTGTGAAATATTTATATTTCTCCTCCCACCTCAAAAAAAATATTTCCTACATTTGAACATAGCCTGTCACTCATATACCATGAGGAATGTACCATCTCTCTGCAGGGCCACAGTTCTCCTATCTTGTTCAGGTAAGAGTAGCACTGTAGTTGAGTGGATATGGTTAGTCCTGGTTTTTAGGGGCAATTTTTTTTTCAGAGGCCATCCACTGTTGCTCTCATCTGTTATGATATAGGCAGATTGTGGATTAAAGTTAGAAAATTCAGACAGAAGATAACTAGATATTTATTAAGCAAAACAGAAAACTGTCCAAGTGGTTAAAAAAGAGTAAAGACTTATTAGACTTAGGAAATCTAAGTGGACAACTTTGCCAAGTTCCCCAGAGGAAAACCTGGAATTTGACTATCCCTCTGTAGGATACCACTGAGTTGTTCTCAGGTTTGGAGATGATGCTTTGGAGGATGTAAAGGCAGATAATCTACTTCTGGTAACTTGAGGTGCTCTGGATATTTGGCTATTGCTCATGAGAGTAGAGATTATGTTATGTTACATTATATTAAAATAAGTTATTTCTATAGCCCTTTGCCATTTGCAAAGCATCTTTGCATATGTGTTTCTTTTGTTGTTCACAATAGCCCCCTGAGGAAGTAATTGCTGTCCCCATTTTATAGATGAGATTAAATGTCTTATTTGAGGCTACACAATATTATGCTTGGAATTAGGACTCCTGAATCTGAAGCACATATTCTTTCAACTACATGCTGATGCAGAAATTGCCTAACCACAGACATGAGAAGGCTGGGAAAAAGAGTCCCATCTGTGAATGTTTCTAATTTTTTAAGTGCAAGGTGCCATCCAGGGCCATATGCCTATGAAGAACATGGTGAAAAGAACAGGAAGCTCACTATTTGGAGCCAGTATTGGTGATAAGAAAATAAAAATATTTGTTTGTGTTTTATTAAAGTGAATTCTTCCAAGTGGAGAGAGAAAACCTGTGTTCCCCAGCAGTTGCCACATAATGTGTGTATAGACTGTGCACTGCACAATAGAAGGAATTGCGCAAAGTGGCATACCTGCTTTTCCCCAGATTACCACTCCTCAAAGCCAGGGATTAATGATGGTGAGAAATAAACATTTGATAAACAGAAGTTAACCCAATAGAGAAAGGAGCCAAATAGTCCAGATTCTGGCCATGTAGATTCCTTGAAACAGACCTTAGAAGGTATTGCAAAAATTAATCACAAAGAATGTTTACCTTTAAAACTTATGAACAGTCCTAGATCGTGTTTTTAATTTTTCCCAATGGAATAAAATGAAGGACTTTAAAAACTTTAAGTAATATTTCATGTCCCCTCTTTTTTCTGGTGGAAATAATTTTGCTTGAAAATTTAAGGCAATCATGAAGTGATCTACCACCAAAATCAGACTAGAAAACTAGCATGGAATGCATTACACAATATTCATTTCTCTAAAAGCATGATCCGTCCTATGAACTATGGCCATCAATCCTTCAGAAAGACTAGTACCAGAAGAGTTTTTGTCTAGAAATTAGAAATGTGTTTATTTTCAAATAAAGCTAGTTGAATCTTATTGATAAATAACAGATACTGCTATTGAGTGATGCTTTTATCTTCATTAATTCATTTTAACAAGCACTTAAACATTTCAGACAGTTAGATGCTCTAAGTGTTAAGTATGTTTGTCCTCCCTTATTCCCTCCCCTCCCTTTTCCTCCCCTCTATACTCTAGCTCCCAGCAGTCTTTTATTAATAATTTCTTAAGTTGTAGAGAAAAATGATAATCCAGATAAAAACTAAATAAAAACTAAAACTCATTTATACTAAGCTCCTGTGGACTTAATGTGTTACTCTTAGGGATACCTGAATTTTAAGAGAAAATAAAAGAGTAGACATGGAATGGAAGGATATTTGTGGGGAAGAGGATTTGTAGAAGCATCAAATTATATGACTACTTTCTAGCCCAATATTTCCAAGAAAATTGACCATTAAAACAGCTCTTACTGACCCTGGTTTCATTTTGGTCAGTTGACTTGGTTATTTTGGAGGCAGAAAATTGTTTCCTCCTGACAACAGTACTTCTTCCTGACAGCCTCAATTGGGATTGGGTTATTGGATTATTTACCTTGGTCCTATATTTTTTTGTAGGGCACGTAGGGAACATAACACCGATTGTAATGGACATTCCCTGGTTCATACATTTTGAAGTAATATAGATAGGAGTTGAATTTATACATCTCAAAGAAAACTCTCTGACAAAAATTCAGCCAAGTAAAAAGCAACCCAATGTAACTTGATAGAGTGAGGAAAGCATTTCTGGCCTCATCCAGGAAGAAGCTTGATATAGTAATAAGGATTTTGGGAGCTAAAATGAGTTTGGTGTGTGCAGGGGAGTAATAATGGAAGATGAATGCAAGTTTTCTCTTTAACCCTGAGCCAGTGACTATGCCAAGGGGAAAAGCAGGAAGAACATGCTGATTCATCTGAAGAAGTCAAATATCAAATGGACTACGGGTTATGGATCATTAAAATGTCAGTGGCTGAACAATGTTTTTCAAAAGCAGTTGGGAATCTGTCCTAAGCGCAGTAATTGCGACAGCAGCTCTGGAATGTGAGCCCAGGGCTGTAGATTTAAGTTAATGCAAAAACTAAATGCTTTAAAGTTAAATTTTAATGCTAGGCACAAAGCACTCTGTAATACATTAAATTTCAGCCCAAGCAATTAGAGAATGTTTCTGAAACATTAAAGTTGTATTTATGTCACTAAAATTCTAACATAAATTTAAAAAATGTGTTCTCATCCATATGTTGTACTAGGCTTCATGATGCATTTCTAAATTTGTGTATGATTTGAATATATAAAAGAATTTATACAAGAGTGTTATTTAAAATTATTAAAAATAAATGTATATAATTTGTACCTATTGTAGATTTGTTGTTTTACTTTTTTATGTGGTAAGAGTGGTTGGAAGTCTTTTGATATGTGTCACAGACCATTTATTTTCAAATCATGTCATGAATCTTGAACGTTTCACTTAACTATGCTTTTTGTTTTAAGAGTTTCTTTTAAAGAATGCTTTCACCTGGAGAATATTGCTCAGGGGTTGAGCTTTGACCTATGAGCTAAGAAGTCACAGTTCGATATTTGGTCAGGGCACATGCCCATATTGTGGGCTCAATCCCCAGTATGGGGCGTACAGGAAGCAAAAGATCAAGGATTCTCTCTCATCCTTGATCTCTCTCTCCCTCTCTCTTTCTCTCTGAAATCAATAAAGAATATTTTCCACTTGGGGAAAAAAAATGCCACATTGAAGAAGATTCCCTTTCTTAAAACAAATCAAAACAACACAACCTGAGGGGGAAAACCTAGATATTAATATATATTCTTGTTTATGCCTTTAAAAAATGTTTTTTTAATTGATTTCAGAGAGGAAGGGAGAGGAAGAGAGAGATGGAAACATCAGCAATGAGAGAGAATCATTGATCAGCTGCCTCCTTCACGCCCCCTACTGGGGATTGAGCTGCAACCTCAGCATGTGCCATAAACCAGAATTGAACCCTGGGACTCTTCAGTCCATAGGCCTATGCTCCTATCCACTGAGCCAAACTGGCTAGGGTGCTTTTGCTTGTCCCCTCATATCCATTGCGATTTCCATGGAAATATTATAGGAAAAAAACTTATTCCTTTTGGGTTCCTTTTAGTATAAATTTGAAGGACCACAACC